TCCATCCCAACCCTTCCCAGTCCATCCCAGCTCTTCCCAGTCCTTCCCAGGCCATCCCAACCCTTCCCAGTCCATCCCAACCCTTCCCAACCCATCCCGGTCCATCCCAGTCCTTCCCAGTCCATCCCAACCCTTCCCAACCCATCCCGGTCCATCCCAACCCTTCCCAACCCATCCCGGTCCATCCCAGTCCATCCCAACCCTTCCCAATCCATCCCAACCCTTCCCAATCCATCCCAACCCTTCCCAGTCCTTCCCAACCCTTCCCACTCCATCCCAACCCTTCCCAGTCCATCCCAGCCCTTCCCAGTCCATCCCAACCCTTTCCCAGCCCTTCCCAACCCATCCCGGTCCATCCCAGTCCATCCCAGCCCTTCCCAGTCCTTCCCAACCCATCCCAGTCCATCCCAGTCCATCCCAACCCTTCCCACTCCATCCCAACCCTTCCCAGTCCATCCCAACCCTTCCCACTCCATCCCAACCCTTCCCAGTCCATCCCAACCCTTTCCAGTCCATCCCAACCCTTTCCCAGCCCTTCCCAACCCATCCCAGTCCTTCCCAACCCTTCCCAGTCCACCCCACTCCATCCCAGTCCATCCCAGCCCTTCCCAGTCCTTCCCAACCCTTCCCAGTCCTTCCCAACCCATCCCGGTCCATCCCACTCCATCCCAACCCTTCCCAGTCCATCCCAGTCCATCCCAACCCATCCCGGTCCATCCCAATCCATCCCGATCCACGCCAGCACCTCCCAATCACCCGCCCTTGGTTGGGGCGAGGGCGTGGCCTCGCGTAAGCCCCGCCCCCGTAGCGGGCGTGTCCCGCTGTGGCGGGCCGCGTCAGCCAATGGGCGCAGGGGGGCGGTACCTGTGAGCCCCATGTAGAGCGGCTGGCGGGCGCGGAAGCCGCGCAGCGCCGCCCCGGAGCAGTTGTGCCGCTCGCAGCGGCCCAGGCACTCCCGGTACAGCGGCTCCCGGTCCCCCTGCGAGCCCCGCGCCGGGGACGGCGCCGTCGCCGCTCCCAGCAGCAGCAGCAGCGCGGCCCGCGCCGCGCCACAGGCCGCCATTGCCCCGCAACGGCCGCTTCCGGCACCGCCCGGAAACGGGGGCGGCGCGGGGCATGGTGGGATACAGTCCCCCAGCGGGGCGGGGGATCATGGGATATATCCCCCCCCAGGCACGTTGCGCAGGGGATCATGGGATATGTGTCCCGTGTCTCCCCCCCCCAACCCGGGGCCCATATGTGTACCGGGGGCTTGGGGTCCGCTAGGGTCAATGGGGGCTATGGGGTCCTCTAGGGTCAATGGGGGCTATGGGATCCGCTAGGGTCAATGGGGGCTGGGGGTCCTCTAGGGTCAATGGGGGCTATGGGGTCCTCTAGGGTCAATGGGGGCTATGGGGTCCTCTAGGGTCAATGGGGACTTGAGGTCCTCTAGGGTCAATGGGGTCCGCTAGGGTCAATGGGGGCTGGGGGTCCTCTAGGGTCAATGGGGGCTATGGGGTCCTCTAGGGTCAATGGGGGCTTGGGGTCCTCTAGGGTCAATGGGGGCTATGGGGTCCTCTAGGGTCAATGACGGCTGGGGGTCCTCTAGGGTCAGTGGGGGCTATGGGGTCCTCTAGGGTCAATGGGGGCTGGGGGTCCACTAGGGTCAATGGGGGCTATGGGGTCCTCTAGGGTCAGTGGGGGCTATGGGGTCCTCTAGGGACAATGGGGGCTTGGGGTCCGCTAGGGTCAATGGGGGCTATGGGGTCCTCTAGGGTCAATGGGGGCTTGGGGTCCGCTAGGGTCAATGGGGGCTATGGGGTCCGCTAGGGTCAATGAGGGCTGGGGGTCCTCTAGGGTCAATGGGGGCTATGGGGTCCTCTGGGGTCAATGGGGGCTATGGGGTCCGCTAGGGTCAATGAGGGCTCAGGGTCCTCTGTGTTCAGTGGGGACTGTGGGGTCCCCTGTGGCCGATAGGGGCTGTGGGGTCCGGCTGGGGCCATGGGGCAGCGTGGCTGGGGACCATGGGACGAGGACCCCGAGGTGGCCGCTTGGGTTCCAAAGTGGGGGGTCCCTGCCCCCCCCCGTGCCACCCCCTTGGCTTCTGCTCCTGCTCCCCCTTGGGGGCTGCGGGTGATCCATGGGGATGAGGTGGCCGATGGGGACCTGCTTGGAGATCCGTCCCTATGTGCACCCTGCTCCTCTTGCCCAGGGGGGCTGCATGGGGCTGGGCACATGCGGGGTGCCCATCGTGGGCTGCGATGCTCCCGCGGGACCCCAAAACCTCACCGGGAGCAGCGGTTGAGGGTGCACCGATGGCTTGTGCCTGTGGTGGGGGGCAAGCGCCGGCTCTGGTCACCTCACTGGGGAGTCATGGGGTGATGCTGGGGTGGCCCCATGGCCCTGTGCCCTAGAACTGGCCCGGTCCATGGGGATTGTCCCTGTACCCCAGGAGTGGCCCCATGCCCAGGACTCCCCTTACCCCACAGTTGTCCCTGTACCCCAGGATTATCCCTGTACCCCAGGAGTGTCCCCATGTCCCTGTACCCCAGGAATGTCCCTGTACCCCAGAAGTGTCCCCATGTCCCTGTCCCTTAGGGGTGTCCCCATGCCCAGGATTATCCCTGTACTCCAGGAGTGCCCCCATGCCAAGGATTCCCTGTACCCCAGGATTATCCCTGTACCCCAGAAGTGTTCCCATGTCCCTGTCCCTTAGGAGTGTCCGCATGCTCAGGAGTCCCTGTACCCCAGGATTATCCCTGTACCCCAGAAGTGCCCCCATGTCCCCGTACCCCAGGATTATCCCTGTACCCCAGGAGTGCCCCCATGTCCCTGTCCCTTAGGGGTGTCCCCATGCCCAGGATTATCCCTGTACCCCAGAAGTGTCCCCGTGTCCCCATGTCCCTGTACCCCAGGATTGTCTCTATACCCCAGGAGTGCCCCCATGTCCCTCTCCCTTAGGGGTGTCCCCATGCCCAGGATTATCCCTGTACCCCAGAAGTGTCCCCCTGTCCCCATACCCCAGGATTATCCCTGTACCCCAGGAGTGTCCCCATGTCCCTGTACCCCAGGATTATCCCTGTACCCCAGGAGTGCCCCCATGCCAAGGATTCCCTGTACCCCAGGATTGTCCCTGTACCCCAGGAGTGCCCCCATGCCCAGGACTGTCCCTGTACCCCAGCGCTGCCCCCCCGATCCCCACACCCGGCAGCAGCATCCCATCCCCGCCGTGCCCCGGTCACCGTCACCCCCAACCGGGCCAATTGAAGGGACAGGGACCGAGCTCGTGCGTGTGTCCCCCGTCCCCCCCCAAAGCCTCCGCACCCCGGGGGTTACGGGGACGAGCACCCCGGGAAGGGGATGGGGGGGTGTGGGGGGGTGTCCGGTGCATCGGGAGCGCGCACGGAGGAGCTGGGAGGGGGTGACGGGACCGGGACGCGCCCTCGCCCGGGGGCCGGGAGCGCTGCGCGGCCCCGTGAGGCGGAGCCGGGAGCGGCGGGAGGCGGCGGCTCCGCACCGCAAACTTTCCCGGAGCGGCCGGCGGGGGCCATGGGCCGCGGCCCGCGCTGAGCACCATGAACCCCCCCGGGGGCTGCCTCCTGCTGCCGCTGCTGCTGCTCCGAGCCGCGCTCTGCACCCCCCCTCCCGCCGCCGCCGAAGGTGGGTCCGGACCGAGCGGTACCGGGGAATGGGGGGGGGGACGGGAACGGGAGGGGGAGGAGACCGGGAGGACTTTGAGCAAAGTTTTGCATTGGGGGGGGGGGGCACCGGGTCCGGTGCTCCCGAGGGTCTCTCGGTTGGAAGTGACCGGACCCCCCCCCCCCCCCGGCTTTACAGCTCCGGACGGGACGAGGCCCGGTCCGCTCCCCCGGGCCGGGTTTGGGAGCCCCGGGGTCGCACAGAGCGCGGACACCCCCCCCCCCCCAACCCGGGGTCGGTGCTGGCGCTGTCCCGGTAGCACCGGAGGAGAAGCGGGTTCCGGGGGGGGCCCAAGCGGGGGTTTGGGGGGGTGTGGGGGGGGTTCGGGGCGGGCGCGGTGCCCCACGGAGAGCGGGTGGGTGGCGGTGGGTGCGTCCCCGTCGCTCCCATCCACATTCTCGACGTGCCGCACCCTGCCCTGCCCGGCAGAGCGGCCGGGGGGGAGCGTTGGAACCGGGGCAGGAGCGGGGGGGAGCGGCCCCCAAAGTGACCGTCGGGGTTTGACGCCGTAGGCCCTGTGTTGGGGGGGGGGGGTTTGGGGTCACTGGGTGCTCTCTGCTCCCGGCACCCCACAGCTCGCCCTGCTCTGAGGGTCTGTGCGTTGGGAACGCAGCAGGGTGCTCCCACAGTCTGGATCCATGCGTTGGGAATGAGCGGCGGCACCAGCTCCGGGAGCAACCGGGGCAGCCCCACGGGCATGTGGCCGATGGGCTCCGCTGGATGCTCCGGGGGTTGCCCTTGGGCAGACGGGGTCTTCCATGGAGATCGGGGTCCGGGCAGCGTGGATCACTGAGCTGCCTGGGTCAGTGATCCTCAATGGAGGAGCAGCCAGGCCCGAAGCCCATGGGATGGAGCCGGGATCCCAGCAGGATCTGGCCCTGCCACCATCCCGCCTGCCCTTCTCCCTGGGGAACCCGGTGGCATCCCCTACCCGCGCTGCGGGGCAGACCTGGGGCTTTGGCTGCTGGCTCCGACAGCTCAGAGACACCCGTCCCCCCCCCGGTGCCATGGGGCGAGAGCTGAACCCCAACCCCGGGGGGGCTCCCCCTTTCTGGCCGTGCCAAGGGGGTGTTTTCCATGGCTCGGCGGCCTTGGAGGCGGCTCCATGCGCAGCTGCCCGCACCGGGGGCTGTCACTCAGCCGTGGTGCAGCCTCCAGCCCCCGAGGGACACCGGAGCCTCGCCGGCACCGAGGACACCGGGCGCGGTGTGGCGGCACCGGAGCCGTTGTGTGGGCTCCGCACGGTGCCGGGGGCCGCGGGTGTGCCCGGGGCTGCGCCGTGCCCTGCGTCACCGCTGCTCCCCAAACACGCCCGACCTGAAAAGGCGGTTCCTGCCGGGGCCCGGTGCCACCCGCGGCCGTGACTCACCGGGCCCGGGGCGCCCGCCCCGACGCCACGGGGATGGTCGCGCTCCGGCGGCCATCGAAGCCCAACAACAATCAGGGCTTGTCTCTTCCAACCCCCCCCCCTCCCTCCCTCCCTTCTTCCCTCCTTCCAACCAGCGTGGGCAGAGCAATTCCTGCCCCCCGGCCCCTGCTCCGCATGGCCGCGGTTATGGGTCCCTTCCCCATAACCCAGCGTGGGCACCGCGGTGATGTTGCCCCCCCCCCCCCGGTTGTCCCTGGCGTGGGGCCGGTTGCCAAAGCGGGAGCAGCCTCGCCGCGTGCCGGGCTGGGAGAGCAGCGATGCAGGAAGCCCATCGGAAGCTGTTGGGAGCAGCCCCGGAGATAAACGGAGCCGTGGCATTTCCTGCGGGGGCCTCAGGGATGAGGATGGGACGGGGCGAGGGGACCCCGCTGAGCTCCTGCTCCGTGCCCACAGTGTGCACGGGCACCGACATGAAGCTGCTGCGGCCCTCCAGCCCCGAGAGCCACTACGAGACCCTGCGGCACCTGTACCAGGGCTGCCAAGTGGTGCAGGGCAACCTGGAGCTCACCTACCTGCCCGCCGACGCCGACACCGCCTTCCTCAAGGTGTGCAGGGGGGGAAGAACACCCCATGGTGAGAGCAGGGGGGCACGCAGCGGGGTCCATCCTGCTTCTCTCCCCTGTCCCCGCATCCATAGGACATCAAGGAGGTGCAGGGCTACGTGCTCATCGCTGAGAACCAAGTGATGGGCTTGGAGCTGCAGAACCTGCGCATCATCCGGGGCACGCAGCTCTTCCAGGACCGCTTCGCCTTGACCGTGGTGGGCAACGGCGGCCCCGGCGGCGCGCAGGGGCTGCGCCAGCTCGGCATGCGGCACCTCACGGGTCAGGGACCCTTCCCCGGGGGTTCTTGGGTGCTCCCCGTGGCTGTCCCCGTGCTGACGGCCCCCTCTCCACCCCATCCATCTCCCGCAGAGATCCTAAAGGGAGGCGTGCGCATCGAGAGGAACCCGCAGCTCTGCTTCCAGGAGACCATCCTGTGGGCCGACATCTGCCACCGGCACAACGAGCTCCGGGG